TTATAAGGTCTAAAAGGTATAATTTAGTGAATCTAATATTGCAAAGAACTGCAGGAATGATTATTGAAAACGTCGCTTGAAAGGACCGATATGGTTGACTAGAGGGGGGGGGGGGGTGAATAGGCAACTATCAATTTTTAGCTTTTCTTATCAAATTAGGTTTAGCAACAAATAGGTTGTCTAGATGTGCAACTAGGTGAGCAACCTATATGATGTAAACAACAACAACAACAACAACAACAACAACAACAACAAGTGCAAGAAGAGATACAACACAACAATAGCTTGCACAAAGTAAAGGGAAGAGACCACAAAGTGGAGACGGTGGAGACAAGGATGTGTTATCGAAGTTCCTTCCCTTTGGGGGAAGTACGTCTCCGTTGGAGCGGTGTGGAGGCACAATGCTCTCCAAGAAGCCACTGGGGCCACCGTATTCTCCTCACGCCCTCACACAATGCGAGATGTCGTGATTCCACTAGTGGTGCCCTTGAAGGCGGCGACCGAACCTTTATAAACAAGGTTGGGGCTATCTCCACAACTTGATTGCAGGCTCCCAATGATACCACAGAGCTTCACCACAATGGAATGTAGCTCCAAGGTGACCTCAACCGTCTAGGGTGCTCAAACACCCAAAAGTAACAAGATCCGCAAGGGATTAGTGGGGGGAATTAAATTTCTCTTGGTGGAAGTGTAGATCCGGACCTTCTCAACCAATTCCTAGAAAATTAACAAGTTTGATTGGCTAGGGAGAGAGATCGGGCGAAAAAGAGCTTTGGAGCAACAATGGAGTTTTGGAAGAGAAGAGGTAGTCTTTTTGGGGAAGAAGACCCCTTTATATAGTGGGGGAAAGAATCCACCCGTTACCCCACTTCAGCCCGTGCACTGCGGTACTACCGCAAGAGGTTGCGGTACTACCGCTGCCTGGTGTGGTACTACCGCATGCACGGTAGTGACCAGAGGATGGACTACTGCATGAAGCAATATGCGGTAGAACCACCGGAGCGGCACTACCACAGGGTAGTTTCCAATGGCCACAGGAGGTGCACGAAAGTAAAAAAATTACTTCCGTGTCTACCTCCGCTGAAGCAGAGACTGTGTAGAAATCCGGCACAGTAGTACCGGACATAGTTTTGCGGTACTACCTCTCGAGAGAGGTAGTAAAAAAACTACATCGGCAACTACTACCGTAGGCGCATGCAACAGGTGCTGGCGACAGCGGTACTACCGCTCCTTGGAGCAGTACTACCGCTCCCTTGAGCGGTACTACCGCTAGCCACTGAAAACTAGCACCTTGCTGCCTTCAATGTGCATAGACATGGAAAACAAACATGAGCTCCAATGAAGTGAAGGAAAGGTGGTGCGAAAGAACAGATGTGTACGTGTTGATTCCACCCTAACCTTTTTGAAGTGGACCCACTCTTAACAGTACGGCTTTCCTACAACTCAAATCCATCGAAAATAAACGTAGAAGGCAACCGTCTTCGATAGACTCCGAGGGGCACTGAATCATCTTGTGCCTAGACATGAGATATCTGAAATGCTCAATGCACATGATTAGTCCGAAAAAGCATTGTCATCAATCACCAAAACTACTCAGGTAGAAATATGCCCTTACAATCTCCCCCTTTTTGGTGGATTGGTGACAATACGGGATTTGCTCATAAGGATATGTAATTAACCAATGCAAACCCAGAGTCTATAAAATATAGACAGGCTCCCCATAGATGTATGCCTTCTTTAAATATACTTTGGACTGCAAAGCACACAAACTAGGATCAACACTCCCCCTAAATTTTATAGATGAGGCATTCCTTGCAACGAACTAAATATCACTAAGCATGGAGGCAAGGCATAACATGTGAGCATGAAGATAAGGGCACATAACAAATAGACTCACAAGCTACTTAACAAACTGGACAATAATGAGATAAGAGTGATAGCATATGTCTCACACCATATGATAGAATAAGTCTCCTGGTCTCACACACAAATAAAACCAACCAAAGCAACGACGAAGGTTCAACGCAAGCAAAGAGACAATGAAAATTAGATCACTCGCAAATCCTACAATCTCCCCCCCCCTTTGGCATCGAGACACCAAAAAGATAGAGATGACACCTAAGACACATGTGGTAACTCCCACAGCAGAGAGATCATCCAACGAACTCCTCCTCTGATGCGGCTGGAAGAGACTCCTCATCAGAATCAACCCACTGAAAGTTCTTTTTCTTCATCCAAGCAGCTTCAGGTGTAATGTTCTTCTCCGACCCACTCGAGATGGTCTCGCCAAGCTTCCTCAGAATCCGCTTGTCGCGATGACGACTCTCCTTCCGAGCAACATGTGTCAGATACTGCCCCTTAGCCTGCATGCAAAACAGAGTCTTCATCTTGTCCTTGAGCTTCGTGGCCCAAGATGGCTCAATAGAGGAGGGCTCATACATCTCGGGACTATCCTCATCCTCAAACTCATCCTCATCAACATCCATGTTGGCAGCAACAGGCTTAGTGGTATTGTTAGCCCACTTGTCCTTGAGATGCAGCCGAATGGGCTCATGACGGAGTTGGGAGCCTGAAAATCCACACCGAGAAAGGTCTCCGCCCACTTCTGCCGGATCAAGTAGCACAAGTAAGGTCCATATATGGGGACCTT